GGACGTGCTGCGAGTCCCTGTCCTCCAGAGCAGTCCAGCAACTAACAAGCTCGCGCGGCAGCGGAGCGTGGGGGGCACGAGCACAAGCAGTCGAGACGCTGTGGGAAAAATCCCACCAGCCCCTGCGGGGTTGGCAATGCAGCGTGCCAGCCGGTCGGAAACAGCCCCTTCCTCCGACCCCTCTGGGGGCCTGGACCCCCACGGTCGCGAGAGGCTGGCGTGTCCAAAGTGGCCCCAGGTTGCCCGAGAGCGCCTCCGAGATGGTGCAGGAGCCCAAGATGGCTCAAGGCGGTTTCGAGCGGAACGACCGCAAGATTACTCTAATGTGCTCCCCTAGCCTCCCAAGGATATCCCCGAGAGGTCAATAGAAAACTCAAAGTGTTCGGTGATGTTCGTCTTCTCGCCCGTCCGTTAGACAGATGCATCCTTCTCTGTCTCACTCGTTAACGAATGATCAATCGCCTCCTCTCGTGAAATATGTTTGGGTAGGCTGGTGAGAAACTGTGAAACGTCACGAACCTGTGTCGCCCATAGCTGCACGCTCTGTGCCGCAGGCCAGGTCGAAGCGTGGGGATGGTGCAGATACTTGAAAAAAGAGCGTACGAACAACCTTTCGATGCGAGATTCAACCAGCATCGGGCCGCATTCCCAGCCCAGTCGATTTGTCGTATCGACTGCCGTGGTGACGCCAGCAGAAAGCGGCCCGCTGCTACATGAATTCTGTGGCCGCGAGTTGAAATTACCCTGCCCTGTCCTCGAAGCCGACCAAGTTAACGTCGACGATGGCCCATCCTGCTTCGTGAAGAAGCTTGCGGCCCTGGGGGATGTTTGTGGGCAACCACGACCAGCCACCATCGAAGTAGTATCAAAGGTCCACGAATCCCCTGCCTCTCCCCTATACAACATCCCCGCCACTGCTCCAACATATCCCTCTCCTTTCTAAGCTCGATCGCGTCGCTAAGACCCCCACCGACACATCTTCCGCCTCCCCATCATCCTCCTCAAACTCCAAGTTGCTATCACCCCCTCCTGCGTCTGCGGTGCGCGGACTTGGACAAACATCGCAGAGCCTTTTCCGCTGTGCCAATTCAGAAAATGAGCGCGCGCCATGAAAAAGGAGAGGGGCGAAGAGGCGAGGAGAAGTACGGAAGCCCTCTCGGGCGGCGAAGTGGGCACGGGGCCAGGACCCACCGAGGGCAACGTGCACGCAGACCGTCCTCCACCTCCTCCTGTCATCGTCCTCTGTCGTCTTCCTCCTCCTCCTCCTCCACCTCCTCCACCTCCTCCTCCTCCTCCTCCTCCTCCTCCTCCTCATCATCATCATCATCATCATCATCATCATCATCATCATCATCATCATCATCATCATCATCATCATCATCTATCATCATCATCATCATCATCAGCAGCTAGCAGCAGCAGCAACAGCGCAGCAGCAGCAGCGTATATGCTAGAATTGCTCATAATCTTCATTTCTTCTTGAATCTTCACATCAGCATCATCCATCATATCATCATCATCTCCTCATCATATCATCATATCTAGCATCTTCATCATCATATCTCATCAATCAGCATCATCATCATCATCCTTCTCTTCCTACTTCTCCTCTTCAGCTACCCGCCTCTCCTCCTCCTCTTCCTCCTTTCTCCTCATCCACCCTTCTTTCTCCTCCTCCTTCTCCTTCTCCTCTCTTTCTCCTCCTCCTCTCTCGCCTCCTCCTCCTCCTCCTCCTCCTCCTCCTCCTCCTCCTCCTCTGCCTCCTCCTCTGCCTCCTCCTCCTCCTCCTCTTTCCTCCTCCTCCACCACCCTCGTCCTCCTCCTCCCCCTCCTCCAAAAATGCGGGTGCAACAATTACGTTGGTTCGCAGTGTTGAAAACCCAAGAACGGCGTTCTGGCAGGATCCAAGATCGTCAAGACGCAACAGTCAGTCTGATCCGTGGGGCTGGGATCGCAAGAATATGTTGGCATGATTTAGGGTCTTCCAACGCTTGTCCTCCAACGAGGCAGTTCCCTCAATGGAAATGAACCGTTGTAGGGACCCATGAAATGGGAGCTTGGAGGGAGGGCTATTTCCAACATCGTTGATGACTCTTGGGTTTACACTGGTCCTCCTCCTCCTCCTCCTCCTCCTCCTCCTCCTCCTCCTCCTCCTCCTCCTCCTCCACTCCGTCTCCTTATGGAGAACTCATCCCTGTCGCCAACCGAGGCCAGTCGGAAAGGAGGGCCGGGCGTTTCGCCCGAGACTTCCTTATCATGTGTGTCCCTTGGCACCGCGCACACTCGCATCAGCGCCGCGCGTACTCGTCTTAAACATTTGCTGGGTTTTTACTGCTTGGGGGCAGACCGTTTTCAAAATGGGGTTCTCGCCTTAGCGCTGCGCACACTCGACTAGAAAATACGAGAGCGTCACGGATTGACAGCGGGCCGTCTTCAAAACGTGGTTCTCGCCTTATTAGCACCGCGCACGCTGGTCTTACAAAGCTGCATACGTTTAACGGATGATGTGCGGGCTTTTCAAAATGTGGCTCTCGCCTTAGCGCCGCGCACACTCGTTTCACTCGCACACTTGCACGTGTTTCACGGATCCCCATGGTCAGCGTACCATTAATTGTGTTTTGGAAGGATTCAGGATTGTCGGGGCGCAACAGTTTCGTTGACTCGCGGTGCGCAGTCCCAGGCATGGCGTTCTGGCACGATTCAGGGTCCTCCAGACGCAGTGGTCAAGAAATTTCGTGGCGCTGGTGCACGAGAACTGTGTTTTGGCATGCTTCAGGATCGACAAACGGTTGTCCCCAAACGGGGCAGTTCCCTCAGTGGAAATGAACCCTTGTCGGGTTGAAGCCTATGAAAGAGGGAGCTTGCAAAAAGGGTTGTTTTTTCCAATACCATGTAAGTGTCTTTGGTTTACACGGGCCGTATTCCTCCTCCTCCTCCTCCTCTTCCTCCTCCTCCTCCCCCTCCCCCCCCATTTTCTTTCCACCTCCCCCTCCCCCTCTTCTTCCTCCTCCTCCTCCTCCTCCTCCTCCTCCTTCTTCCTTTTCCTCATCAAAGACTTCTCCGTGTCGAGCCACGAAGCCAGTCGAAAAGGCGGACCAGGAGTTTCGCCTGACCCTTCCTAACCGTTCATGGTCCTGAAACTTGAAAACTGACGACACCGTCACGGATGGAGGGCGGGTCGCTTTCAAAATGGGGCTCTCGCCTTAGCGCCGCGCACACTCGCCCTAAAAATTGGCAACAGCTTCACAGATGGAGGGCCGGTGGTTTTCAAAATGTGGCTCTCGCCTCAGCGCCGCGGACACTCGTCTAAAAGTTTGAAAGAGCTTCACGCACTGAGGGCGGGCCGTCTTCAAAATGTGGCTCTCGCATTAGCGCGGCGCACACTCGCCTTAAAAAGTTGCACAGACTTTCACAGATTGAGGGCGGTTCCTTTTCACTATGTGGCTCTCGCCTTGGCGCCGCGCACAATCGTCTTGAACGTTTTCAACCGTTTCACGGGTTCACACGGCTAGAGTACCAGGAACCGTGTTTAGGAACGATTGGGACTTGCCAAGGCGCAACAGTTTCGTTGAATCGCGGTGTTGAATCCCAAAAGTGGTGTGATGGCACGAGTCAAGATCGCCAAGACGCCACAGTCAGGTTGATTCGTGGCCTTGAAGTCCCGGGAATAGTGTCTTGGCACGCTTCAGGATCTTCACAAAGTTGTCTCCCAACGGGGCACTTCTCTCAGTGGACATGAATATTTGCAAGAGCCTATGATTAGGGAGCGTGGAGGGATGCTTCTTTTCAACATCGTGAAAGTGTCTTGGGGGAACACTGATTCTCCTCATCCTACTCCTCCTCCTCATCCTCCTACTCCTCTTTGTCCTCCTCCTCCTCCTGACCATCATCATCATCAGCATCATCATCACAATAATCATCATCCTCCTCCTCCTCCTCATCATCATCATCATCATCATCATCAGCAGCAGCATCATCATCGGCATCATCATCCTCAGCAGCAGCATCACCATCAGCAGCAGCATCACCATCATCATCAGCATCATCATCCTCATCAGCATCAGCATCATCATCATCATCCTCATCATCATCAGCAGCATCATCAGCATCCGCATCATGAGTAGCAGTATCAGCATAATCATCATCATCACCATCATCATCATCATCATCATCATCAGCATCATCATCATCATCATCATCATCATCATCATCATCATCATCATCATCATCATCATCATCATCATCATCATCATCATCATCATCGCCAGCAGCATCAGTGTAAGCATCATCATCAGCAACTCAGCAGCAGCAGCATCATCGTCATCCTCCTCATCATCATCAGCAGCATCATCATCGGCATCACCGTCGTCATCATCATCAGCAGCATCATCGTGATCATCAGCATCACCGCAATCATCCTCCTCATCGTCATAGTCTGCATCATCATAATCGCCGACAGCAACAACAACATCATCACCAACAGCCTCCTCATCATCCTCATCATCATCAGCAACATCATGATCATCCGCCTCATCAGCATCACCATCAGCATCATCATCATCACCATCACCATCACCATCAGCAGCGGCATCGTCATCATCATCATCAGCATCATCAGCAGCAGCAGCATCCTCCTCCTCCTCATCCTCATCTTCCTCCATCACCTCCTCCATCTCCTCCTCCATATTCTCCTCCTCCGCCTTCTCCTCCTCCATCTCCTGCTCCCCCTCCTCCTCCTCCTCCTCCTCCTCCTCCTCCTCCTCCCCTTCCTCCTCCTCTTCCTCCATCTCCTCCCCAATCTCCACATTCATCTCCTCGTCCATCGCCTCGTCCATCTCCTCCTCCACCTCTTCTTCCATATCCTCCGTATCCTTCTCCTCCTCCTCCTCCTCCTCAGTGTCCTCGTCCTGGTTCTTGTCCTCGTCCTCATCCTCGTCGTCGTCCTCGTCCTCGTCCTCGTTCTCCTCCTCCTCCTCCTCATGCTCCTCCTTATCCTCCTCCTCCTCCTCCTCCCTCTCCTGCTCCTGCTCCTCCTCCTCCTCCTCCTCCGCCTCCTCGTCCTCCTCCTCCGTCCGCCTAGTCCTCCTCCCTCCTCCCTCCTCCCCCTCCCCCTCTCAATATTCCTCCTCCTCGTCCTCCTCCTCATCCTCCTCCTCCTCCTCCTCCTCCTCCTCCTCCTCCTCCTCCTCCTACTCCTCTATTCCGTTTCCTTATGAATAACTTCTCCCGGTCGCACCCCCAGACTAGTTTCAGGGCGGGCCAAGCATTTCGCCTGGGACTTGGTCACCATGTTTGACTCTGAAGCTTAAAAATGGGCAACAGCTTCACAGATGGAGGGCGGGTGGTTTTCAAAATGTGGCTCTTGCCTTAGCGAAGCGCACATTCGTTTCAAAAAATGCAAGGGTGTCACGGATTGAGGGCGGGTGGTTTTCAAAATGTGGCGCTCGCATTAGCACGGCGCACATTCGTTTCAAAAAATTGCAAGGGTTTCACGGATTGAGGGCGGGTGGTGCTCAAAATGTGGCTCCCTTCTTAATGCGGCGCACATTCGCTTCAAAAATTCGCAAGGGTTTCACGGATTGAGGGCGGGTGGTGCTCAAAATGTGGCTCTCGCCTGAGCGCGGCGCACATTCCGTCTAAGAATTCACAAGAGCTTCACGTATCGAGGGCGGTTCCTTTTCAAAATGTGGCTCTCGCCTTAATGCGGCACACATTCTTTTTAAGAATGTTCGAGGGTTTCACGGATTGAGGGCGGGTAGTTTTCAGAATGTGGTTCTCGCCTGAGCGCCGCGCACATTCGCTTTAAACAGTTGCAAGAGTTTCACGAGTTTTCATCATCAACGTACCAGAAGTGGTGTTTAGAAGGAGTCAAGATTATGCGGGTGCAACAGTTACGTTGATTGTTTGTGTTGAAGTCCTAGGAATGGCGTCCGTCAAGCTGATCCGTGGCGTTGAAATCCCGAGAACAATGTGTTGGCATGCTTCAGGGTCTTAAAACTGACATCTTCCAACGAGGCAGTTCCATCAATGGAAATGAACCGTTGTAGGGGTCTATGAAGAGGGAGCTTGGAGGGAGGGTTTGCTCCAACATCGTTGATGACGCTTGGGTTTACACTGGTCCTCCTCCTCCTCCTCCTCCTCCTCCTCCTCCTCCTCCTCCTCCTCATCCTCCGCCTCCTCCTCCTGCTCCTCCTCCTCCTCCTGCTCCTCCTCCTCGTCCTCCTCCTCCTCCTCCTCCTCCTCCAATTCCTCCTCCATCCTCCATCTATTGGGGTATGACGTCTTACCCAGCCCTTTCTTAGTCTGCACCCTCCTCCACATCCCTGATCAGAGCAACTCGTCTGACCACCGTTTCTGCATGGGCTGGTGGGGTTACGCGAAGCGTCTAGGATAGCCCACGAATCTCTCCAGGACCATAAAAATGGTAGAGGGAACCCCGCAAGCATGAGCGACGGCATGCGGAACGGGAGGGCGACGACCAGCAGAACGGCAAGGCGCGAAGCGCAGAAACCGCGTGCGTGGCAGGAAAGGGAGACGTCCTCCTTCTCTGGAGGTCGTGATGATCTGTTCCAGGGTTGGTGGTGTCCCGATTCCAATATTCGTGCTTTCAGGATTCCGCGGGAAGGCTTTTTGATTCCGAGGTTCAGGGCGGTTCCGCAGGGGGTAGTTTCTCCGAGCCAGGGGGCGGTGCGGAGAAGCAGTAGTCATCCAATACGGGGGCTTTGTGGAGCGATCGCCGCACGCCTGTGCCTACGTTCGCCATAGCCTTATACGCAGCGTCGCGTCACTCATACATTTGCTGGGTGCGCTTGCCGCTGCTATTTTCACTCGAGCCCTGACGAGCCCAGCCGAGGCGAAACGTTGACACGCGCACTGAGAAAAGGCACGGGCTTGAGGGCGACACGAGAGGCGGGGGCGAGGACGGCGAACGGGGCGAGCGGCGGGAGGCGACCGAGGAGGAACATCAGAAGGCGCAGGGGGGGTGGGGACGGGCGGGAGCGGGAGGAGAAGCAGAGGACGGGGGAGGAGAAGGAGACGGACGTCCATCCCTGCAGCTGATGATGAAGAAAGAGGCGGATCCTACGCGAGAAGGCGTAGCGACCTTACGCCGCGGCAAAAGCGGGGCGCCAGCGTGGCACACCGCCTGCAGAAGAGGGCGCTCACGCGCGGAAGCTTACGCGCGAATGTCCGCGCAGTCGGCCCCGTTTCCTTTTGTCGCTCAGCTGGCCATCGGGCCGAAGGGTGAGAGGTCCAGGCGAGTCCAGCACGACGACGGCTCTGGAGACGACGACGGCGACGAAGGTGGCGACCGCGATGGAGGAGGCGACGACGACGGGAACGGGAACGAGAACGAGGTGGGCGGGACGGACGAAGGCGACGAGAACTTGGGAGAAGAAGACGAGAGGGATCTTCCCTACTCTACTCTTTCTCCTCCTCCCCCCCCTCCTCCTCCTCCCTCCTCCTCCTCTACCCTCTCCCCTCCTGCTCCTCCGCCCTATTTCCTCTCGCCCCTCCCCCTCCCCCTCCCCATCCTCCTCGGGGGGGGAGGGGGAAAGGCCCTCCGTGGAGCGGCGGCGGGCAGGAGGATCGCTGCCCGGCCGCCTCCGCGCTGACCCCGTCGGTGACCATCGCCAGCAAGGGCCGCGTGGTGCCAGTGGCCGCGAGGCTGGCGGCCAGCACGCAGGCGCCTGCCCTCTGAGGAGCGCTGGGGCGCCCCCTTGTGAGGACGCCAGCTATACTTCCTGACCATCGCAACGGAGCCCAGCGGCAAGGTAAGCGCCGATACTGGCCAAGCTCATCCTGGCTTTCCTGGCTTGGGCAGGATGCACGGTTTCACCCGAGGCCGTAGGCGACCCGAGGAGGAGGAGAAGGAGGAGGAGGAGGAGGAGGAGGAGGAGGGGGAGGGGGAGGATGAGGTGATGGAGGAGGCGGAGGAGGAGGAGGAGGAGGAGGAGGAGGAGGAGGACGGAGGAGGTGAAGGAGGGGGGAGGGTGAGAAGGAGATGGAGATGGAGGAGGAGGAGGAGGAGGAGGAGGAGGAGGAGCACGAAGATGAGGACGAGGGGGAGGAGGAGGAGGAGGAGGAGGAGAAGGGGAGGAGGAGGACGGGTCGCCTAAGCCCGTCGGAGGAACCCTCCAGGGCAGGAAGACATGTACACCGATCCTGGGTCCAGGGTCGGCCTGGCCAGGATAGGTGCAGGTGCATGGCTGGTGCAGCCAGCGCGGCCTCCGCGAGGGAAGCCTTGGGTGCGCAGCGCCGGCCGATGCAGGCAAGAGGTACGGGAGAGGACCGAGGCTTGCTTTCGGGTCTCAGAGCTGCAACTCTCTCTCTCTCTCTCTTTCTCTCGCATGTGGCCTCGTCTCCTCCTCGTCCTCCTCCTCCTCCTCCTCCTCCTCCTCCTCCTCCTCCTCCTCCTTCCTCTCCTCTCTCCTCCTCCTCCTCCTCCTCCTCCTCCTCCTCCTCCTCCTCCTCCTCCTCCTCCTCCTCCTCCTCCTCCTCCTCCCCCCTCCCCCTCCCCCTCCCTCCTCCTCCTCCTCCCTGGACCGCGTTGTTGCCTTGCACGCGCCCGCCGCCCTGGCGACGCGAAGGTCGCCTGGAGCGGCCAGCAGAGGAGTGTTTCTCTCTCGGTCTGGGTCAGGGGCTGCGGCCCGCAAGCAAAAGGGAATTTAACGCTGATGTTGCTGACACCTGTCTGCGCCACTATTTCTGTTGTAGACGTGTTTGCTCACAGCACCTTGGCACGATCGGTCTTGGGGCTTACTCACCGGTTGCGCGAAGGCCGGCTCTGCTTGAATGTCGAGCCTGACTGACTACGGAAGTCTGCGGCAGCAGCCAGGGGGCCCTCTAAAGAGACGCCCTCGGTCCGCAGTGCCCGCCGCTGCTCTTTGTGTCTGGACCGCGTTCGTCCACCAGTCGCGAGAACGCCTTTTACAGGGGACGCAGCCCCACCCCGTCCGCAAACCCCTCTGGCGACGTCACTCGCGCCGGCGCTGTCTTTCAATGGTCAGGGGTAGCTGGCTCCCAGGCAGCGCCGGCACGAATCGTGACGTCGTGACATTGCCGGACCCCTCCGCCCCCCCGCACAAAGCCGATAACGTCCGTTTCCGCAAAAAACTGGCTCCTGCGCCTCAGGGGCTCTCTAAACAAGCCTGCAGGCACCCGCAGAGCCAAAGGAGGGACCAAGGGGGGGAACAGAGCAAAAGAGAACGGGTCGAGCAGTACGGATCGGGTCTCAGATGCCATGCGGTTGCCCACGCTAGACTCCGGGCGAGCCGCGGGGCACACTGGCCACGCCGCTCCACAAGAAGTCTGCATATTAGAATAAAGGCGTAATCGAAAGACGCCACCTCCTCAAACCCAAACACAAACAAACACACAGCACACACTCAGCACACACACGCACTTTCTGCGACCGCGGGCAGGTGATTCGCTCAACCAGCTGGTCAGACCATACATCAAGCGATACTGCTTGCGTTCGAACGGTAAGGCGAGATCTGTGGTCACCGCATCGCAGCGCAAACGCAGAACAGCGCACAGGCTCAACCGGTCTTAAGGCCCCCCCCCCCGCAAACGCACAGGCCGGTCGGCACTGGGGGGGTGACTCAACTAGACAGCCAGGTGGCAATTGCCGCCGGATGTGGCTGCGAGACAGTTGTAGAAAGCATGACAGACAGACACCACGCAGAGGGAGGGAGAAGGGAAAGGAGGTGCAAAGACTCACGTCCTGTTGCTCCTCATCCCCCTCCTTCTCCTCATGCTGGTCCTCCGTCCCCAACTTGGCGCGTCGCCTCGTGTGCCCGCTTCTCTCTATCTCCGCCTCCCCCATCCACCTCCGCCGCCTCTCTGACGTCGCACGGACATGGATCTGGGATCGTTGCGTTGCGTTCTGGGTGGGCAGAAAAGGGTACCGAAAACCACATTGGGCCGATGACAAACTAATCAAGCCTGGCGGGTGCAGCAGAAACGGCAAGGCCTATAGGATCGAAGGGAGCAGCGGCCCTCATAGGATTTGCTCTCCCCAGAACTCGGGTGATTCCACCAAGGGTAGCGTATACGAACGCTGGCATAGCACGCGTCCTGGCTGGCCAGAAATGGACATGTTGCGTGTTATTACGCTGCTTGTCGCTATAAGTGGAACTTCAGCTAACAGGGCGTGTCATGATGAATCGCGAAACCTGGGTCAGGACCTGAACGCAAGTCTTGTGAGGCCTGCACGAAAGGCAACGCAGTACCCAGAATTGCAACGCAATGCCAAGCACTCAACGACGCAATGGACGGCAGCGCATTGCAAAGCGAAGCAGAACACATCAAGTCGATTCGATGCGAATCAGGGCATACCAAAGCAAAACAACGCACAGCAGAGGACGGCAAGGCATCGCACCGCAATGCAACTCAAAACAAAGCAGGTCACAGCAAAGCGGTGCGAAGCAAAGCAATGCAGAGGCCCCCCAGAGGTCCCCACAAGGCCCCCAGGCGCCCCTAAGAAACCACCAGAAAGCCCCAGAAGGCTCCCAAAAAGCTCCCAGGACACCCCCAAAACTTCGTGGGGGTTGTTGGGCACCTCTTGGGGGCCTCGTGTAGCCTCTGGAGCACTCTTGGGAGCGTCTGATCCCATCCTTCCCGAATGCCTCTTTCATTGTGGGGGTCGTCGTCCAGGGTCGGCGGCACCAGCCGCAAGGCCTGAGCAATATCTTCCTCAAGAAAGGCTTACGCTTGGAAGTTCTTACTTCGTTTCCTTAAGGAACCGGATGGGTGAGGGGCAATAATAGGGGGGCATCGAACTGGAATCGGCGATACATCGCCGATAGATCGGCGATAGGCCCCCGATAGTGAATCCGCACCTTCCTGGAGGGTTGGGGCTATCAGACCCTTATCTAGAGGGCAAAAAATCCACCCCCATAACAACCACCCCGACACGCGAAGCCGTTTACTCAACGCCCCCACTGAAGGAATCGAACAGGGCAGGGCTTTCTAGTAAACGTCCAAGGCCGTTTAGTAAGCGCCGATTGTCCGGGTCCGGGTGGTGTTTCCTCCCTCGACTCTCGGCGATCAGTGGGCGATTGTGGGCGCCTCGTGGGCGCCTCGTGTTGGGTGGATCAGCCGACGGCTCGGCTGGTGCCCGCCCCTGGGCACCTCGTGCGCTGGGTGGGTCAGCCGACGGTTCGCCTGGCGCTCGCCCGTGGGCGCCTCGTGGGCGCCTCGTGCGATGGGCGGATGTGGCGAAGTTTCGCATGGTGCCCGCCTGTAGCCGCCCGCGGGCGCCTCGCGGGCGCCTCGTGCGCTGGGCGGCCGCATAGATTGCACTGCATAGCTTTTACCACACTGCTTGCACCACACAGCACACACCACATAGCACACATCACATAGCTTGCACGACACAGCTTGCACAGCAAAGCTTACACCACATAGATTACACCGCAAAGCTTGCACCTCATAGACTGCACCGCACAACTTACACCCCATAGCTTACACTGCATAGCTTGTCTCACATAGCTTGCAACGAATAGATTGCACCACATAGCTTCAGCCACAAAGCAAGCTTGCACCACATAGCTTACACTTCCGCAGTGCAGGACCTTACTGCTTAAGGGTCCACGCTGGCAAACAATGCCTGCACTGAAATCAGACTTGGCACCGATACAAAAATCAGACTTGGCACCGAGTCAGGATCGACGCTTCCTTGGGTAGTGTGGGCCACGCCTAACCCGCCCGACCCCTCCAAGCAGGTAGTCATCGTCCGTCAGGTGGGTCACGTACGCCTCCACGCGCCGTCCCGTGGAGGTCACCTCCAGCACACCGGCGAAGCAAAGAGTAGCACGAGAGAGTCGCAAGCCTCAGGTGGGCAGCGCAGGGGAGGGTCCAAGAGGGAGGCAAGGGGAGGCGGCAGTGGAGGAGGAGGAGGAGGAGGAGGAGGAGGAGGGGGAGGAGGAGAGGCTGTGCTGGACGAACACGGCCTCGAATACCTCGGCCTGCCATCCGAACGCATGGTGCGGAACCTATGGCCGTCCAACAACTGTTGCGACCCCCAGCGACAGAATAGCCTCGGGTGGTCTCAGGAAGCCTCGAGTAATTTCGAGCATGGCGAGGGAAGTAGGACCACGGGCCGCCCACGGGGGAACAAGGTGGCCATATAATATATATATATATATACACACATATATATATATATGTATATATATAGATTCGACACAGCATAACTACTGAACGCAGCTTCTCGGACCACGCCTCCTGGTGCAACAGGAGCTCGTACAAGAGGAGGAGGGGGAGGAGGAAGGAAGAGGAGGAGGAGGAGGAAAGGGATAAGAAAACAACAAAACAGGGAGAGGGCGAGGAGGAATGGGAACGACGAGGTAGGTGAGGAGGGAGGAGGACGAGGACGAGGAGGAGGAGGAGGAGGAGGAAGGATGAGGAGGAGGAGGAGCAAGAGGAGGGGAAGATATCAAGTATCTACGCCAGGAAGAGGATCAGCGCATCATGGCCGAGGCATGCGTGCGTGCGAAAGGGGGCCAGGGGGCGCGTTGAAAAGTCTGGGAGATGTCATGGTCCATGCCACGATGTCCATACAGGTCGGTCGGACGAAGTAAGTAAAAAAACATGGAGTAGGAAGGCGGATCAAGTAGATTGGGTTCAGGCCCTCCCAGAGACTAAGCGATTCTCGAAGTAGGAAGGGGCTTGAAGTAGATTGGGACCTAGGCATCCAGAAATACCTACTGTCAGCGACAGGCGTGTACATACACCTTTTTGCTTCACGGCCAGTTGGTCCAACTCAACGAGGGTATTCGCGGGTTGCGCCAAGCTGATCACCGCCGAGCGTGCGCCGATGCGGGGTCACGAGAGGGCTGCGCGTGCGGCAAGAGGGCGCGCACGCACGACTGTCGAGCGCGTGCAGAGAAGCTGGTGGCCCGCCGAGGAGCGGGCCCGAGGCGGTGGCAGGAAACGGATGCCGTGCGGCCGGCGCCAGCGCCCAGGCGGACGGCCTGGAACTCGCCGTCGCTTGGACGTCCAGTCCGTCCAGTCCCTACTCTGGGTGTCTTAACAGGCGTGGGGGGTACCCCCCCGACGGGGGTCAACCTCGCCTCGTCGTCGCGCCGCGACGGGGGTCGGAGTGCCTTCGGCGCGCGGTGGCTGCCCGCAACGGGGGTCGATGTGGGGCTGTCGGCGGAGGTGGCGCGCCCCCCCACGCTTATTGAGGATCTCGGAGAATGCATTTGTCGGTTTCGTGCATGGTTTTTTGGCCCGATGGTCGAGGATGTTCCTCGAAGGTCCTCGCCGAGAAAAAAATCACACGTCAGAGCGACGCAAAGGGAAGAGCACAGCAGCGAGGCCCAGGAGACGACGCCCGGGGAACGGGGCGCACCCGAGACAGGGAGAGGAGAGGAAAGAGCGACGGCCGCGACCCAACAAAAAATGCACACGTCCGAGCGATGCAAAGGGCAGAGCACAGCAGCGAGGCCCAGGAGACGACGCCCGGGGAACGGGGCGCACCCGAGACAGGGCGAGGAGAGGAAAGAGCGACGGCCGCGACCCGACGACCGAGAGGGGAGGACGACCCCCATGGCGCCAGCGCGAGGCGCGAGCAAAGAGGGGGAGGAGGAGGAGGGGGAGGAGGAGGAGGAGGAGGAGGAGGAGGAGGAGGAGGAGGAGGAGGAGGAGGAGGAGGAGGAGGAGGAGGGAGGAGGAGGAGGAGGAGGAGAAGGAGGAGGAGAAGGAGGAGGAGGAGGAGGAGAAGGAGGAGGAAGAGGAGGAGGAGGAGGAGGAGGAGCGACACGACGGCCGGACAAAGGACAAGGGGAGGACGACCCACCCAGCGGCGCGAAGGCGCGGAGGCCATCCAGGCCACGACGGACCAGCCGGAAAGGTCGACTGTGCGGAGCACAGTAGGCGGAGGAGACCGGCAGCGGCCCAGAGACAGCGCCATGAGGAGCCGATGCTCAGCGCAGTCCAAATGGACGACGAAGCCTGCAAGATGGCGACCCCTCGATGGTGCGCGGAATGCATGTCCCGTGAGCAACGGCGAGGACAGCGCGTGAACCACAGCAGGCGGGATGGCAAAGAAACAGCACTGGCAGCAACCAAGGTGGAGCCCGCTGTCATGCATGCGGATAGACAAGCGACAAGGCAAGCCAGAGGCAGTGCCAGGGAGGCCAGCACCCAAGGCTGCCAAGAAAAACGGCCGAAGGCATGCAGCGGAACCTCGCAGGGGCGCGGAAACGCATGCGCAGAGCCGAGGACAGGTAGCATCAGGAAGCACGGAGAGGCCAAGGCAAACAGGCCGCCAGCAACCTCGGACCGGGACCGGGAGCGAGGCAGCGAGGGCAGCGCGAGAGGCAGGGAGAGAAAGAGGCCGAGGGGCGTCACCGTCCGGGCGGGGCCGAGCCCCGGGAGACTCGGGAGGCCGTCGCAGTCGGCAGCTCCACGACGGGCAGGGGGGGGGCCAGGAGCCCCAGAGGAACGCGCCAGCTGCGCGAACTGCGCTCGGCGATAAAGGTTTCCGGGGTGACAGGCCTGCAGGAGGGTGGCTCCTCCGAGGCCACGCTGGCGGGCAGGGCAGAGGCGGCGGGCTGCACCCCGCAAGAGAGGGAGCGGAGGAGGAGGAGGAGGAGAAGGAGGAGGAGGAGGAGGAGGAGGAGGAGGATGGAGGAGGAGGAGGAGGAGGGGAAGGAGGAGGACGAAGAGGAGGAGGAGGAGTAGGAGGAGGAGGAGGAGGAGGAGGAGGAAGAAGAAGAGTCCGTAGCCATTTTGGCTCAAGTCCGTAGCCTTTTTGGCGCAGGACCTGGCCTCACTGGCAAGGGGGAGCAGCGGCCCCCACAGTGCCCCTCGTTTGCCTGGCCAGACGAGGTTTCGCTTTTTGTGAGCTCCTGTCGGAGCAAGAGCTTCCTGTTCTCCCTGTCGCGCTCTCTGCACGACATGGATGGCAAAGTTGCTCACAATTGGACGTGCACCAACGTGCGGTGCGGGTACAAAGGCAATTATCAGTGGCGGAGCAGCTGTCGCATCTGTGGCACCGAGCCCCACAAGCCCAGAGTTGCAGCGCAGCGTGCACCCACAGGCAAGTGGAAGGACGGACCTCCTCGCTCCGCTCCTCCTGTTCCCGTCTTGTCTGAGGAGCTCGTTGCAGTGTATGCCAAAATGGATCTCGCAGACTACACCATTGTGTCGCAACGGTGGTCTGCAAAGCAATTGGCTCGAGTTGCCGCGGCTCGCAGTCTTTCCAACGGAGATGTGCTTCCTACAGCGCGTGCTGCTCGTCAGGCGTCTGATGCCATTCAGCAGAAGCTCGAGCAGGCCCAGAGTAAGCACGACAAGGCGGCGGCTGCGGCGGCCAAAGCCACGCAGTACATGCAGCAGTGCGCGACTAGCTTGGCTGAGTGCAAAGCCAAGGCAGACGAGGCCGCCAGCAAAGCTGCCGCTGCCTACGCGGCTGTCGGAGGCCGCGCTGCCGCCGCCACCGACCCGCTCATGCAGCTGCAGCCCCTCGCCGCCTCCCTCTCTGACACGCTGCCCGACGCAGCCGCCGCGCTCAAGCCCATTGCCGACCTTGTCAAGCAGCAATTGGACAAGCAGCGCGCCGACGCGGAGGCCGAGGCGGTGCGGCAGCAGCAGCAGCAGCAGCAGCAACAGGAGCAGCCTTCTCCTGCTGGTGCTGGCGTGCCTGGCGTCCCAGACGCAGCCTTCTGGGAGCATTTCGGCAAGCCCGAGTTCTTTGACAGCTTCCTCAGAGCCCAGGGCATCCCCGTCAGTGGCGACGACGACGCCATGGGCGTCGAGGAGGCCGACAACGACGACGGTGCCGACGAAGGAGTGCCCAAGAAGGTCAAGGTCGGTCGGGCCCTCTACACCAATCTCTCGCAGGCCATGCAGGATCACGCCGCCAAGAAGGCCAAGACGGAGGCAGCCGACTCGTCTTCCTAACACGTGGTCCTTTGTCACCGCCAACGTCTCAGGCCGTGCGGGGCTGGAGGCCATTCTCAATTCACAGTCAGTCATCGACGCCGACGCCGTCGGAGTGCAGGAGCACCACTTCATCGAGTGCGCAGGCTGGGAGCAGAGGCTCCGACACATGGGCTGGAGAGCTTCGGCTACCGCAGCCAGAGCCACAGGCCAGGGAGGCACAACAGGTGGTCTCCTTCAGATGGTGCAGCAACGGCACGGGCTCTCGCTGCTGATCGGTCAACCTCCAGTTCTCGAGCCTGCGCGCATCGCAGTCAGGCACATGTCAGGAGTGGTGCCAGGAGGCATCTTGTGGGCTGTAGTGTACATGCATGACTCGCAAGGTTTGTCATCGCTCAAATGGGATTTGTTGTGCAAGCTGGGGGCGGTCATCAGGCAGTTCGGCATGCCGTTCATTCTTTCTGGAGACTGGAACTTGAGCCCAAATGAGCTGATGGGTTCTGGCTGGGTGGAGGCCGTCTCTGGACACATTCTATCCTCTCAGTTGGCCACGTGCACAGGTGGAAAAGGCAGGGTACTGGACTACTTCATCGTGTCGGAGGGGTTGCAGTATCGTCACAAGCTTGCTGTGCTTACCGACGTGGGCACCACGCCGCATTATCCAGTTCTTTTGTCTCTCGAGGGACTGCGACAAGTCCCCAAGCTGCCGCAGATTCGAGTACCTCGCATGTTTCCTCGCCAGCGGCCTCAAGGACCCACGCAGGATACCACTCGCTGGCAGTCAGTTTCGGAGCTGGTGCTTGCACAGGCAGGCACACAAGAGTTGTGGGAGAGTTTCGTGAACACCATGGAGCTCGAGTTTGTCGACATCTACCAGATCAGCAGTGACGAGGCG